GGGGGGGCCAGCGTCTGAGTGATGGTTTCTCAGTAGGAATGTTAAGGTGGGATGATGAGGATTTAAGGGGGCATGTTAGGCCGGGCACGGTGGTTAAAGCTTGTAATCTAATCCCAGCACTTTGGGAGGCCGAGGTGAGAGGATTGCCTGAGCCCAGGGGTTCGAGACCAGCCTGGGCAACTTGACGAGATCTCGCCTCTACAATACACTAAAAAATTAGCCAGGCGTGGTGGCGCCACCTGTTATTCCAGCCACTTGGAAGGCTGAGGCCAAAGGATGGCCTGAGCCTGGCAGGTCGATGTCACTACACTCCAGGTGGGATGTTAATAATTTAAGGTGGAGGCCGGGCTTGATGGCTCGGCCTGTCATCCCAGCACTTTGGGAGTCTGAGGCAAGTGAATTGCCTGAGCCCATGGGTTCAAGACCAGCCCGGGCAACTTGAAGAGACCTGGTCTCTACAACATAGCAAAAAAAATTAGCCAGGCGTGATAGCGCACACTTGTAGTTCTGGCTACTTGGAAGGCTGAGGAGGAAAGATCGCTGGAGCCCAGCAGGTCAATGTTGTGGTGGCCGTGAGGATGCCACTGCACTCCAGCCTGGGTGACGGAGTGAGACTGCAACCCAAAATAACAATAATAATAATAATTTGAGGTGAAATGTTGAGAATTTAAGGTGGGGCGCTGAGGACACAGACGCTGAGGCTTGTTTTGTCCCCTTCCCCAGGGCACCTGGATGACGATGGACTACCGCACGGGTTCTGCACGGTCACCTACTCCTCCACAGACAGATTTGAAGGGAACTTTGTTCACGGAGAAAAGAACGGACGAGGGAAGTTCTACTTCTTTGATGGCAGGTAGCACTCACGATTTTGTTTTGCCTTTTTGGGAGGGGGTACCAAATTCCGTTAAGCGAAGGGATGATACCAAGGAAAGGGTTCAAATGGAGATTTTTGTGCACAATTGTTACGAAGGTAAAACTCATCCCAACTTGTGTGCACTTGTGTTGGTGACTGGGGATGTCACCGCATTGGTCATTGGCTTGGGGAGAGGTCATTGGTCTGGGGGAAGCTAGCCTATGGCTTAGTTCTTGTCTCCAGCGACCCCCGGTGTGTGCCTGTCTCAGAGATACCCCGCCATAGACTCAGGAGCTGCCGTCTTTCCTCCGTTGATTACAGCCACCCAGTTCTTTGGTGGATCCTCTCTGGTCTCTCAGTGGCACGTCTCACTGAGGCTACAAGCTGAGATGGTTTTGCCGGTGGCCAGGTTATACAGTTCCAGCAGTGACTGATTCATGCTTTCTCCCAAGTGTGGCACACATCCATCGTGCCCAGTCCGCTCTGCCAGTTGGCACAGTCTGGTTTCTTGGGATCCCTAAAGGAAGATGCTGCCATCTCGCTGGTTCTTCTGCTGGTTCAGTTTCTCAGCTTGTTTCCTCGTGAGACCAGTGAAGAAAAGACTTGGCAAAGTTTTTCAAAGTCTCGTCGTCACAGTGCAAGGAGTAAGACATGGACAGGCAGACATAGGAGGGTGGCATCTAGACCCACCATCTTCGGGATAATGGGACACCCCACACTGCTGTCAGGACCAGTGTTTTCTTTCCATGCTCTGCCACTAGGTAAAATATTTTTTGCAGTAGAGTTCATTTAGCTTTGCTCTCACCTCCTGTCTGAAGACGCTGTGAGACAGAGACTCCCCTACCTGCATGTGACAGGTGGGAATGACTGTAGGACTTTTTTCTTTCTGAAAGAGATGGGACTGCACTGCACTGGCCCAGCTTTCCGACAAGGATTTTTTTTTTTTTTTGGTCAATGTAGCACTCCGTCTTCCAGGCTGGAGTGCAGTGGCTTGATCACGGCCACTGTAGCCTCTACCTGCTGGGCTCAGGTGATCCTTCCACCTCAGCCTCCCAAGTGGCTGGGACTATAGTCACGTGCCATCATGCCTGGCTAATATTTTGATTTTTTTTTTTTTTTTTTTTTTTGGTAGAGACAAGGTCTTGCTATGTTGCCCAGGTGGTCTCGAATTCCTGGGCTCAAGCGATCATTTGCCTCAGCCTCCCAAAGTGCTGGAATTATAGGGGTGAACCGCCATGCACAGCCCCAGTAATGACTCTTAAACCATGCCAGCTTTGGAAGCAGAGTGACCGTGTGAATTTCTTAAGTATTTAGAGGAATCTAGAGCCATGAAAGGGCCATTGGGTAATACGGAAATAGACTTTGCTAAAGCAGGTTTGGGATTCTGTGAGATATAGCACCATTTACTAAACTCTGGACATTGGCAATAGGCCAACGCTTCCTAAACCTAGGAATTCTTTTGGGAAAGGAAATGTCTAAGCCAACAGCTGAAGGGTCTCAGGGACTGGCAAGTGACCCAGAATTCCTTTTCTTTTTTTTTTTTTTCTTTTTTGAGTCAAAGTCTTACTCTGTCGCCCAGGCTTGAGTGCGGTGGCACACTCACAGCCATCGTAGCCTCAACCTGCTGGGCTCAGGTGATCCTTCCACCTCAGCCTTCCAAGAAGCCTGAACTACAGGTGAACACCACCACATTCGGCTAATTTTTCGATCTATTGTAGAGTTGAAGTCTCGCCAAGTTGCCCGGGCTGGTCTCGAACCCCTGGGCTTAGGAAGTTCTCTCGCCTCTGCTTCCCTAAGTGCTGGGATAACAGGCATAAGCCTGTTATTCTTGCCTGGCCAGAATCCTCTTTCTGTAGGGGAAGTGAGTTGTTTTCTTGGGGGGAGAATGAGGGTGTTTTTGTTTTTTTATTTCCACCACATCTGAATAATTTTTTTTAACTTTTTGTAGAATTGGGGTCTTGCTATGTTGCCCAGGCTGATCTCGAACTTCTAGGCTTAAGCAATTCTCCCACCTCAGTTTTTCAAAATGCTGGGATTACAGTTGTGAGCCACCATACCTGGCTGAAATGGGTTGGTTTTTTGTTTTTGAATCAGAATCTCACTCCGTGGCCCAGACTGGAATGCAGTGCAGGCTCGTGACCACCACAGTCTCTCTGTCTCCGGGGTTCAGGCGATCCTTCCACTTCAGCCTTCCTACTAGCTGGAACTACAGGCGTGCACCACCATGCTCGGCTAATTTTTGGATTTATTGTAGAGACAAGGTCCCGCCAAGTTGCCCAGGCTGGTCTCGAACCCCTGAGTTCAGGTAATCCTCTCACCTCCGCCTCCCAGAGTGCTGGGATTACAGGCGTGAGCCACTGCCCCTGGCTAGAAATGGGTTGTTTGTTAAGATAGTAACGGTTCCTCAGGCTCTTGGTTACCGAATATAAGGAAGGGTGAGGAAAGCAATAAAAACCCACCAAGGAACTTTTGTAAAATGTCCTTTTAATTATAATTCCCAGCTGTACTTTCCCACTACCCCCAATTCCTCACCTCACCTTTTTTTAAGCAGAGCTTTGCTTACAAGCTAAAATTTGTTTTTATTTTTATTTTATTCCTTTTTTTTTGGGGGGGAGGGTCAGAGTCTCACTCTGTCGCCTGGGCTGGAGTGCAGGGGCATGCTCATGGCCACTGCAGTCTCCATCTTCTGGGCTCAGGGGATCCTTAGGCCTCAGCCTTCTAAGTAGCTGGAACCACAGGTGCACACCACCACACCCGGCTAATTTTTTTTTATTTATTGTAGAGACAAGGTCTTGCCAAGTTGCCCAGACTGGTCTCGAACTCCTGGGTTCAGGCAATCCTCTTGCCTCCGCCTCCCAAAGTGCGAGATTAGAGGTGTAAACTGCCGTGCCTGGCTTCAAATTTAAATGGTCAGATATTTTACTTACTTTCTTTTGCCCTGGTGGATATTGAGTCCCATTGAGGCCTCTTTCAAGCGGCTGGTATCAGGCTTGGCGTGGCGATTCATGCCTGTAATCCCAGCACTTTGAGAGGCTGAGGTGGGAGAATCATTTGAGGCTAGGAGTTCGAGACCAGCCTGGGCAACATAGTGAGATCTCATCTCTACGAAAAAAATCAATAAAATTAGCCAGGTGTGGTGGCACGTGACTGTACACCCAGCTACTCAGGAGGCTGAGGTGGGAGTATCATCTGAGCCCAGGAGGCCGAGGCTGTAGTGAGCCATGAGCATGCCACTGCACTCCAGCCTGGGCAACAGAGCGAGACTCCGACTCAAAAAAAAGATGTTGATATCAGTGCTTTTCTCTCTCATGACCCCTTTATCCTGTCCAGAGGGAACTTTTTCTTCCTGCTTTGTCATTTCCTCTCCAGTCTTTATATAGCTGTTTTTCTGGAGAGTGTCACTTTTGACTTCACGTTCCAAGTATTTTATTCATTCAAGTGCACGTTTATGTAAATGTCTTATTTCTCCTTCATCCCTGAGGACAGAGGCTTCCTTGAGGGCCGAATCTGTGTCTATTACATTTTTATGCTTCATGGCATTTCCCCTTAATTTGATACCAAAAAAAAAAGTCCTTGCTGACTGGGGAGCGAAGCTGAAAGAGAGGATAGAATTCACCCAGTCACTGCCTCCAACACACACACACTCACGCTTTAAACCTGGTGGTTTGATGATGATAACCAGGAATGCGTTGACTCTCTGGGGAACTGATTGAATTTGCTGTCAGTTACCTGCGTGGTTCACAGTCTAATTCACAGTGAGGGGTTGGACTGAACTTCTGATCAGGACACTAAGCATAAGCTACAGGTTAGCACCGAGATGCTGAGCCCTCAGCCCTACGAGTCAATAGCCAAGTGGGAACCAATACTTCTGGAGTACCTCCCTTCCTGAATCAAGCTGGTCACTTCTGGCCCTACGCAGCTCTGGCCACTAACTCTAGTGTGACCTACCAATGCAATAATTTGCATGTGTGTCATGACTGGAAAAACCAGAAGCACCAGGTCAGGTTAAGGTACTTGCCCAAGAAGTGTGTGGAGGCTAGAAAAAAACTCATTGCCTTTTTACTTTTATTTTTTTTTTCCTTTTGAGGGACCAGTTCACTAATATTTATACCTACTATTCAAACACCTGTAGAGACTTTGATCACATAGTAGAATCAAAAAGGACAGGAGTAGCCAGGAAATTCAAGAGTCATCTTGGATTAGTCTTCAGAGAGACTAAGGTCTCGAGGGGAGAATGTCAGGGGTTTTCTTTTTTTGAGTTGGGGGTCTCACTCTGTTGCCCAGGCTGGAGTGCAGTGGCATGATTATGCCTCACCGCAGCCTCAACCTCCTAGGTTCAGACGATTCTTCTGTCTCAGCCTCTCAAGCAGCTGGGACTACGGGTACACACCACCACGCCCAGCTAGTTTGTTCATTTTTTTGGTAGAGAGGCATGTCTCGCTATGTTGTCCAGGCTGGTCTCACACTCCTGAACTCAAGCAGTCCTCTTACCTCGGCCTCCCAAGGTGCTGGGATTACAGGCATGAGCCACCACACCCAGCTGATGTTTATTACATGCGATGTGACAGCGTAAAGGGCCACCGTTATATTTTTTAAGCCCAAGACTGATTGTGTTGTGGATGTTTGCTAAAAAGATTTGCTGTAAATATCAGTGAGAGAGTCTAACCACTGAAAACAAGGCCAGGGAATCTACGAGGTCTTTCTAAGGGCATGTGGGATTTGGTTACTGAGAAGTCAGTTGTTCCTACATGAAGCAGCCTTTACAGTATTTGTGTTTGCCTGTTAACTTTTCTGTCTATGGCCATCCTTTTTGAAAGTCTGATGTGCTGGGTAAAATTAAGTGGGAACACGTTGCCTTTGCTGTCAGTCAGGAACCTTTGATCTGGAAAAATTCCCCTAAGAAGGCTGACATCAAGGCTTTGAAATGAGAAGCTAGGAAACAGAAACTTTCTGTTAAAGACAGTGGTTCGAACCTGTCACGATCAGCTCTGTCATTTTAA